TAGTCTACCATTGACAGTTTGTTACTAGCGACTTTCCTTGTGGCTCAATACCCAGCCCAGAACTATTCAACGCTGTCTAAGAGACTTTACACAAAGTTTTGATTTTCACACAAGATTTTGATTTAGAACATGATGTATGTACTGAAATCACAAAACAAGCACAATACAATATCCATCTGAATTACAGTACAACTTCTATTCTCATTAGCAGTCTCTATGCTCAGCTGTCACTCGTGAGGTGTAAGCCACCTATTCATTTCCACTTACTCTAGTCTGACAAATACAGGAAGGAATTTACACTCTTCTGATGAACTTCAGTAGAAACATTCACACCATCGGTTTACCCATTCAGCTGCTGATAGCTCTTCTCTCCAAAACAAAGGCCACCCTCTGGGCCCTCTCTCTGTCGAGGTAAAGTCGGGCTCTTAGACAGCTGTGATTAGCCCCATCCTGCACTATTCTCTAAGCTTCATGAGTACATTCGCCATGCTCATTTTCACTGAGCTTTCCCATTATAGGGGTTTATTCGCTAAATCAATTTCACCCCCTTGGTCTTCGTGAACAATTTGAGAGGACAGAACAGAACGCACTCTTAGCAAGTACACGAGTGAGAACCAATAGAGGGGAGTGGGAGGACTGACACTGCAGGGCAGGGCTGCAAATGAGGACTTGGACAAGCTAGAGAACTGGGACCACAGGAAATTCAGCAAAGGCAATTACAGAACCCGGTATCTGAAGTAGGAGACGACTGTATAATAGAACAGACTGGAGAATAACTTGACAGAAAAACAGCCTTCCAGAAGAGGAACTGTTAGACAAGCTAAGCATGAATCAGCACTGTGCAGCTCTAACTATAATCATTTGTCTTGTAAGTGACTGTTTCAAGAAAGAGAGAACCCATCTGAAGTGCTGTGCCTTTCATAGGGAGTTCAATCAAATGATATGACAGATTTCATAGAATCACAGAACTGTTTGAGTTGGAAGGAACCTTTAAAGGTCATCTAGTCCAACTCCTTTCCAACAAACAGGGACAGCAATAGCTAGATCAGGTTGCTCAGAGCCCCATGCAGCCTGACCTTGAATGTCTCCAGGGACGGGGCATCCACTGTAGCTCTGGGCAACCCGTTCCAGTGCCTCACCACCTTTGCTGTAAAAAACATTTTGCTCATATCCTGTCTAAATCTCCCCTCTTTTAGTTTGAAACCCTTGTCTATCACAACAGACCCTGCTAAAGAATTTGCCCCCTTCCTTTCTTATAGCCATCCTTTGAATACCAAAAGACCGCAGTGAGGTCACTTGAGAATCTTCTCCAGGTAGAACAGCCCCAGTGCTCAGCCTGCCCTCATAGTAGGGGTGTTCCATCCCTTATGCCATTTTTTGTGGCCTTTCTCTGGACATTCTCCAAGAGGTTCATGTCTCTCCAGTACTGAGGAGTCGGTATATGGACATGTACTTGAGGTGAGGTCTAATCAGAGAAAAGGGGCTGGACCACCTCCCTCAACCTGAAGCCATGCTTCTTTTGATGCAGCTCAGAATGTGATTGGCTTTCTGGGCTACAAGGACACATTGCTGGCTCATGAAATCCTTTTCAGCAGGGCTGTGCTCTGTCTTTTTTTCCCCCAGCTTGTATTGACAGTGGGTGTTGCCATGACTCAGGTTCAAGACTTTGCACTTGAATTTGTTGAACCTCATGAGGTTCCCCTGGGCCCACTTCTTGAGCCTGTCTAGGTCTCTCTGGATGGCATCCTATCCCTTGGGTATGTTGACCACACCACACAGCTTGGTGTCATCTGCAAATTTATACTTGATCACACTGTCAATGTCATTGACAAGGATATTAAGAGCACTGGTCCCAGTACTGACCCCTGAGGGACACCATTCATCATTGATGTCGATCTTGACGTGAAACCATTGGCCACTACTCCTTGGGTACAAACTTGCAACCAGTTCCTCATGCATCAAATACAAATCTTTCCAATTTGGAAAGAAAGATATTGTGAGGAAGCATGTCAAAATCCTTCTTGAAGTTCATGTAGATGACATCATTGTCTTTTTCTTGTCCATTATTGCAGTTACAACATCACATGCTATTACACCATCAAAGATTTCCTATGGAGGTTGCAGGATCACTGTCCCTGGAGATTATTCAAGTCAGCTGGGCACGGCCCCAAGCAATCTGATCTAACTTCATAGTCAACTCTGCTTTGAGATGTGTTTGGACCAGACAGCCTTCTGAGACCTTTACCCAACCTAGATCACACTATGATTCTGTGATCTAACCAATAAAGAGGATCAACCATTCTGTGTTCAACTTCCTGCCATAGACTTTCTTGCGTACATTTTGGCTGCTGGAGTTCTATTACAGCCAGAAATCAATATGGAAGAAGTTAAGGGGATCTATCTACTAATAACTGTCAAAAAAACACTTTTGGCAAGAGAACCTATGAAAAACAAACAATAAAACATCAATTAAAAACATAACTATACAAACACTGTAGAAACTTCCAAAAATATGGAATAAATGTAAAGTTCATGGCACGAATTTACAAAATGTTTGGCCTAAGTTCATATCAAGTTAAAATAAATCTTATATTTGCATGCTCTAAATATGAAAGATGCAGCTTTCAAAAACACTCTTTAGCTGTCTCGATGATTTAAAATGCCTGTAATGCCTCTGTATTCTGAAATAATTTGGAATATGTTTCCTTTTCAGAATAAAAGGACATAGTTTAGTCTTGAAAATACTTTCTCACCTTAAGTTGCAGTGTGGTGTTACCAACAGCATAGTAATTCAGGTTAGTTCTTTTTAATTAAAATATTCAGTGCAACATTTACAGTATATCTTTACTAAAATCCCAATTGCTTCAAGAATCGTTTATTTTTAACTGATGGTAGAAATTATAAATAACTGCTTGTTGCTGGAATTGATTCTAGAAAAAGAACACCACAACACTTCTCTGTGGTGTTTCCCTGTAGCAATCCATTGCCTGATCACAGAAACATAGAATCATTGAAGTTGGAAAAGACCTTCAAGATAACCTAGTCCAACCTTCCACCTACCAGCAGTATTTCCCCACTAAACTGTGATTGTGTCCCTCAGTATGAATCTAAACATCTCTTGAACACCTCCAGGGACAAGCATACTCCAGAGATCCTTTGGGGTGGTGTGGAACACAAGGTTATGTTACTCGTATTTATGCATTTCCTTCCCACCTGGGGGTAAAATAAATGAACCATGCACTGACGCTGTCTGTGCATAATGATAGAGTACTGGTAGTGGGGCAGATGCATAACTGAAATTAAGTTAGGCCATATCATAGTCTTACACAGCAGCCCTTATTTGCTTTGGAAGGGAGGAGGAAGGGGGTGGACTAGATGATCTCTAGAGGTCCCTTCCAGCGCCTACAATTTTGTGATTCTGTGAGTCATGAAAGAGAACCTGTTCTTTAAAAGCAGAAGGATTTCATTACCAGTTACCTATAGTATATTACGGTCCTGGGGTTAATTAGCTGGTATCACAGCGACATCTCTGAAAACAGGAAAATGGACATAATAATCATGAGATATGTATACTTTTCTACTGTTAGCTGGTAACTCTGAGGCCATTATCTGGCAGTGAAACAAAAGTCAGTTGTTTTCTTTACATTCTTAGTCAGGAGTGTGTATATTAAAAGAGCTGCCTATGAGTGTATACCTGCTGTTTCACTCTCTTGACTAAATTTATTGTTCTTTTTCTGCTTGCTTGTTTGTTTTTCTCTTCATAGTCTAATCAACCAGTGGTGAATAAAGTGAGAGAAGTATTTATGATCTCTAGTTAATTGTAGAAAAATGATGAGATGCTTCAGATTCATTTCTACTGAAGAGACTGCAAAACTGTCTCCTTGTATTTCCTGTCTACTTTATGGACTCGAGCTCAGATAGGATGGACTGTGTAGATGCAAGTACTGTAGTTGGTTCTTAGCCAAAAACAACTTTTGACAAGCACTCTTACGAATTTTACCAACTGCAAAATCTGTGCAGTGTTTGTACAGGGAGCAGTAGTCTTATCAACAGTGCTGACTCTACCACTGTTTATCAGTATTGTGCATGTAGGTTAAAACTGGTGTCAGTAAGTGAATGAACTCAAGCCTGAAACCAGTGTCTGCTTGTACCTCCTGTTTATCCCAGTCCTTATCAGAGAAGTTATAAAGAAGCTGTTTTATCTGAACCCATTTGGATTATAAAGAAGCAACAAAAAATACCAAGCTTTTATAACTAGGATCCCAGATATCTGAACTTTGCTCATAACATATCTCTGTTGGCTACAACCTTTGGACAGTATAATAAATATGTTTGCTGCGTGGCAATGAGCTCATAGACTTAGTAGCAGAAAAACAAAAAAATACATTGAAGTTAGTCATGTAAAACTACTCTTAAACACAGAAGGAATTGTTGCTTTACAGCTTGTGTATGCTCTAATTGATATGAATAACAAAATTACCTTCGTAGAGAAGAACAGTCTTTGTCTTTAGGTACTGTTGATTAATCAGTTTTATAGCACTGCTTCAATTTTACTCAGACATTACAAGCATTTTAACTAGGAAAACAATTTAATGCATTAATACCACTGACAAAAGTGGAGTTGGTTTAAATCTATTTCAGAATAGGAAAAAAAATCATGCTATTAACAAATAACTATATTATTTTCTTTAGCAAAGCAATCCAGGTGTGAATTTCAGAAATATTCATACATTATTAATTCCCAGTGTTCAACTAACCTAGTTATTTTCGACATGTATACTGTATTGGGGAATAATACATAGCACCATGCACAGAAGTGTGTTGGGTATGAATTTTGTCCATTTGCTCTCAAAGGGCAAGGTAAAAACTAAGACCTTTGGGCATATGAAATGCAGTGCAGTTGGGATTTTAAGGTAACTGAGTTCATCAGAGAGTTTCATATAAATCTTATTTTGGCACCTGAGATTTTGTGAGCGCTTATTATTTTAGTGAAAACTTACTTCAGTGCTGAAAATCTTGTATGTTCCTTGAAGTATCAGCACCTTGGTTTCTCAGTGCCTGTCTCTGCTGTAAGACTGTTTATGATTTACAAACAAGGCATGTCTATGTCAGCTCCTTTGGGAGATCAGTTCAATCAGTGCTCTCTCAGCACCTCTAACACACATGGACAGCATTTATTTCATCACAAAGTACAGCAGTCACAGGCAGTTTCATCCAAAAGTACAGCTGGAGTAAGCATCAGACTTGTATAGCAGTCTGGAGAGTTAAACCAATTGTCCAGGAAATGGTAGTCAGGGTTTCCAGACCACTCTGTCCGGGCACGTTCTAACTGACTTTGCTCCTAACCCTCAGCTGAGAGACAAAAATGCAGTGGCAACCTCTCTTACTAGATAATTTAGTAAGTTAATGTGAAGAACCTACTATTTTTGCTTTTAATCAAATATTTTACCTGTGGGCATAGCCCTGTGTTTCATGCTCATACGTATGAAAAAGTCCTGAGCAAAGGCTAAGCTCTGCTTCTTACAAAGGTAACTGGAAGGCATTATTTTTTCAGTTTCTTTGGAGATTATAACAAGAGTGATAACATACTGATTTCTTGAATTAAACTCAGCTTTAAATGATCCTTAATCTTACATGTTTAACAAAAGAGCACTGTCTGCCTTGTGCTTTCCAAAATGCACAAAGTAAAATCAAAGAAATGAAAAAAAAGCAATAATCAAATGTCTGAGCAGAGTCAAGGAAGCAAAGAAACTACTAAACTGTCGTGGTGACAGCTAACAGCGTTTTGGGGTTAAGAAATGATCCAGGACACACCTTCAAGCTATTACTAAGAGATAAGAAGAGCTACAAGGCGTGCCTTTAAGCTGTCATTCTAGCTGTCTGTATTATGAGGAAGAGACAGGCAATGAGAATAGGGCAGTGATGCAGGTAGGTACTCATGATACCCAACTTAAGGTGCCTTATCTAGCTACTGGGTCTCCAACTGACAATCAGTGGAGAAAGTTCATCAAAAGCACTGAATCCCTTCAGATGATCTAAAGATACAACTGCATTAATTTTTCAGTTTCAATCCAGCATGTGTTTCTAAGGTAGAAATCCCCTCACTCTGCTTAGATTCTCATTGTGAAGCTGTCTTGGTGTGCACAAACTGGATTCATTTAAAACAGATTGAAATCAGAGCTACACCTTAAACTCTTTAATCCCAGTTTGTATTCAGTTTGTGGGACCAGGTTAAGACTAATCTGTCAAGACAAAAAAAAAAAAAAAAGGAAATATTTAGTTGAAATGTAAAATACATGAGCCAGGCATATTTCTGTAATCAAAGTACCCTGTAGCTTAGAAAAATAGAGCTAAAATAATCTCAAACACACAGATCTTTGAACTGTGAATTGTCTGGAAAGGTTACAGTGTGCAGCTTTGAGCAGCAGTAAATGTGAAGATAGATCATAAGGACCAAATGCTGTTACATTTTGGAAGTCTTTAACCAGTTGGAAAACCAAAATTTTATTAAAATTAAAAGTTAGTATTTGAGCTCAACTTTCAATTCAGATATAAGCTCAATTTACTCTGGTTCAGTGTATTCTGAAATAATTGAAGAACTTATGTCAGCTAAGCTGATGAATTTGTCAGTGTTTGTAAGCTGTACTATAAGGAAATGGAACTTAACCTGATGTTAAGTTTCATTTGTTGCAAGCTAAGAGTGAGCACATGGAGAACTACCTCAGTAACTTGGCTGCTTGACTAAACTTTTGTTCTATTCCAAGTGAATAAGCATTGAACCATGAGAAAAAAAATATAGCTGCTTACCTTGCATATTATTATTTCTTCTCTTCGAAGTAATAGGGATTGATATGTTTCATAATTCACTACAGAGCAGTGGGAATAGTTCATGGCTTAAGTTATACTGGGCTGCAAAACCCAATGTTTTGAACTGTGAAATCTAGTATTTTATGTAATTTATCTTTAACAAACAGTATTTCCTTGCACTTTGAAGATGAATATTATGACATTTACTTGCATTCAGAGAAAGAAATGGTTCATGGTGAGGACAGAAAAACAATCATTGTAGAAACAGTGGCCACCAAATAAATGTTTAACTAAAATAAATTTGCCCTAGATTTCTTTGGCAGAATAGCCAGGGCACTGAAATGTACACAGAGGTCTTCCCAGCACTTTTTAGTCTCTCTTTTTTTTTTTTTTTTTTAATAATGACTTAAAATTAAAGAAAAAGAGCTCAATTCTCTAAACATTTTGTTTCCTATTAGAATTTGTCCATGATAAATTATTCTTAGATGTGCAGAGAGTTTACTTCTAAAATTTTTGTCTTTTTTAAAGACTTAAGAACTCACAAAGTATGTGGTGAATTTTGGTCTCGAAGATCCAAATTCAGTTTTTCTTTAATAGTACATCTTTATCTATGAATACTTGGAGCTTCCATGTACTGTTGGAAGGAGTAGAAGTGCAAACACACGAATGGGAAGGTCCACGGTAACATGGAACAAGTCTGCTTTTAGCAAGAGAGATCTGGAAGAGCTGTGAGCCCGACAGATCCTGAATGTAGCTTTGGAACAAAACCTTTATAGTTCAGTAACCTTTACCTGTGTCTGCCTATTCTGTGAGTCATTTGAGAGTCTTAGTTCTATGGTTCTGTGCACCAGTCCAATTCAGAGATCTATGCGTGTGCTGACAATATAAAGCCAGATCTTTTTTTTTTTCCTTTAGCTTAACCTTTTCCCTTAGCAATTTTTTTTTTTTTTTTAATTTATCATTATTATTCTTTTAATGGATGAATTCTGAAGATGAGAAAGATCTTACTCAGTCTGAGGGTGACAGAGCACCGGAACAGGCTGCCCAGAGAGCTTGTGGAGTCTCCTTCTCTGGAGATACTCAGAGCCCACCCAGATGCTTACCTGTGCAACCCACTGTAGGAAACTTGCTTTAGCAGGGGATTGGACTAGGCAATATCCAGAGATCCTTTCCAGCCAGTATGATTCTGTGATTCTATAATGAAGGCTTGGAGAACAGGAAGATTTTTGAAGAGCTTCTATGTGCCTCTGTGAAAATAAAAACTGAAAAGGATGAAATCCTGGTGCTCTTGTAGTAAATGGCAAAACTCCTATTGACTTCAATGAGGATAGGATTTCTTCCAAAATGTACAGAGTTTTCTCAGTCCAAATGTAAGCACACTAACTTATTAATAAATGCACAATAATACAGCAAGCCAAAGGCAGTATAAATACTTAAACAGAGCTTGTTTCAGTTTAAATACCAATAACAGACTTACTTTTGGAGTCTGTGGAGGACCCAGATGCCACAGCTAGGATTTTTCACTTTCAGACATCTGGGTTCACAGATCACTATTCAAAAGGAAATAATTAATAAAGAAGAAGTGGCAGTGATGCTATATATTTAATAACCCAGGACTTTTACATATAACCTAAAGTGATTACGAGCTATTCTTTAATGTGTAAGTAAGTGAGAGATAAATTCTTTTTTTACAGTCCTTATTCCACCTTTTTCCAAGACAAAGCAAAAAATAGCAACCATGCTGCAGATGAAAGTATCAGGAATTTTTGAAATTGTAATTTAAAAACATGAGGGAACATTTAGAATTTAATGAATTTCCTCTCCATTTTATAGCTCTCTCTATAAATCAGGAGGCATTTGCATGTATGTTTAAGTTAGATATGAGTGTCAACTGTTTTCTACGTACAAATGAATATGTTTTGAGGTTTGATTTAGCATTGAGACATCTTTTCAGTAGGCACCGTAGCTAGCTGTGTGCAGTAGCCTGTTCATTTTGTCTGTAATGTAACTGTTGCATTACTGCATGTGAAGGAGAACTGATAGTTAACTCAATGAAAATGAGAAAATTCTCTTATGTAATAGTTGACTTTGAGTCCTACTCTTAACGGTCTCTTTCCAGAGGAGTCTAGAAATCGTTCTTCATGCCTGTAAGGGACACAGAAAAGAGACTTCCTGTCTCAAAATAGTCAAAGAGGAGAAGAGAGAGAAAGGTCTTTTATGTAAGCAGTTTCTTTTTCTGCTTTTTTTTTCTTTTTTCTTTTTTTTTCTGTCCTATCTGTGGAGGACCGGTGACCCTAACCGGAGGTTGCAGCAACAACCTTATACCAGAGGCCTGATAAGCCTGTGAAGTAATCACCTTTTGTATAATCATTTCCAATGATCGTTTCAGCATGCCTCATGCTGAAAGCTTTTGCAAGTTAAGGGGTGAAGTACTCAGTAAAATTATTTATTTAAATCCATTAATATATGAATTTTAGTACAATGAAATTATTTTTCCCAGTTTGTACAACGCTAAAGATGTATCATATATGTAAGATTGCCTCTGCAGATGAATGCCACTTGAAATTCACATCTACTCATGACACTACTCTTGGAGTAGTGCTCTTTTCTGCAGTATAGATATCAAATATAAGCAAGCGCTGGCATCCTCTCATTCACAGTTTATGTTAAGAGGTGGAAGCTTTTCACATGAAATGAATAGTTATTTCCAGCAAATTCTTTATTATTGATACAAGTACAATTTCCCTTACACTGCTTTCTTTAAGGCATGGGTAAAGGATCCTGTTTCAGATTATAAAGGGCAGGTTTTACACGTTTGTATATTATTCAATCCCCTAAGTAGTAAAATGTTTTATATTGGTTTAAAAAGAACTGAATTGTGATATAAAGATAAAAAGCATATATAAAAATAACTGAGATACCTATGGAACAGCACTTTAAGCTCATCTTCCTTTCTTATAAGGAAGCAGAGTGATAAAACATGAGAGCATTTAACACCTACATGGTGAAATTCAGCTCAACTTACGTAACCAAAATCACATAATCACAGGAGTCAATTTTAAGTGACTTGTCAAAGTTATGCCAGGATAGATGCACAAAGTTGGATTCAATAATTTGTAGGTAATTAAGGCATTTATAACCTTGTTTAACTTCATGAAGACCTAAGACTCCAGAGGACATACTGTAAAAATTCTTAGACCCTAAAATGAGAAAATAAGCACCTTCAGAGATTTTATAAAATCTTTTTATTCTTTGGAATTTAGGAACGTTCATCTAATCGGTGTATAGTTTTTAGCATTAAAATTTGAATCAGCTGTCTAAGCTATCTTTATATTCAGTGTGAAGTATCTTGTTTAGCCCAGCTCACTTCCTCAGGTTTGGATTCATCTGTAGGAGGAGATGAATACATCTCCTGGAGATGTGTTTTTCTCCCATTCGGTATTGGATGAACCTAGGTTGTAACTAAAATACAGGTGTTTGTATTAGAGATGTTTGGTCAGCTGAATCTACATAGCCAGTTTAAGATTATGGATACCCAAAGTTACTAATCCCACTTTAAGTCCATACCTGCAGGTGACTGTCTTTAAAATGTCGCCTGAGGAGTAAATAAAGAGAAGAAATTCTTCACTTGCACATTTTGTTTCTATTTGTTCTATTCTGTGTGCTCATCTCAAAGGAGTTAATTGAAAATGGAGATCTTTGTTTTCTTCTGTATAAGCTTCTAATAATTCAAGATTTTTTATGGGCATAAGGTGCATAATGGGACTCCTGTGCTAGTAGTAACTGGTTATCTGTGGTTGAACTCTGACTATATTTGGTACTTTAGGGAGATACATTTTCACTCTGACCAGAAATCTGTGAGGACACATGACATTGAGGAAACAAAATGTTAGAAGGCAAAGAATTACTTGTAATTCAAAAAAAATAGAAAAGAAAATTTGATGTAATGTAACTTACAAGTCTTACCCTAATAGAAGAGGCTTGCTAAGAAAATCTTCCATGGGATTTACTGAAGTGAATGAGTAAGAATTCTTTGTCTCCTTGCCAAGTTATTTCACTGTGTACCCAGTGCAGCCCTCCGAGTCACACTTAGTTCTGAAAAAAAGTCTGTATTCTTGAGGGAATTTTGTCTTGTTTGCTTGTTTGTTTTTGTTTATCTATCTTTGTTTTTCAATATGCAACTATTTGCTCATTCCTCAGCTCTGGAAACAAATCTGTATGCTTCGTTCAGCTGGGCTCCCAACCATAGAATCATCATGGAAGCAGAGGTCACATTTGTTGGCTTTGTTTTGTCCATGTCCACAGCTTATGCTTTTGTCTCATGACAGCGTTGCAATTCAGAACAACAGTGTCCAGAGACTTGCAGTACATGTGTACAGTGACAGAAATGTGTACAAAATGAACCATAATAAGACATTTAGTTAACCATTCTTTTTGAGATCACAAAGCATCTTTAACTGCTTTAATGAAAGGCACTGGTCCTGCCGTAAAATGCAGGAGGTGATTGAGACCGTAATACCTGTAATAGAGACTGTTGTGATATCACTTGAATTTTTTCCATCAAGTCTGGCTCTATTTTATCTAGTAAAATAGATTGTGTCAATCACCATGTTCTGGCAAACTCCCTCATGTCAAAGTATTACTTGGTTTATTCTTTTTTGATACCTTCTTTATCTGTTAGGTTAACAGGTTTATGCTAAGTTTCTTTGCTTTGATCTTCTTTTTATCCCAGGTACTTTGCTCTTTGACCCCCTTCCTGAGTTGCCAATGAGTTTAACTTGGCATATATCTATATATTAAGGACTGCAGAGCAACTCTGAACTTGGTAACAGGGATTCTCTTGCAAGCAGAGCTTTCTGCAGTCTTACTGACCAACATTTCATCTAGTTTCTTTAGGGGGGTTTTGCTGCTTTCTGTCAGTTTTATTTTCATGACTGTACAAGCTCGTTGGCCAGCTTCACCCTGTAGGCACAACTTTGAATGAGAACAATTCATCTCATAACGAAGCTAAAATTGCCTTTCTCTTTACCTACCATTAAAAAGTAAAATCGGTACTACAGTTATAAAAAGTTGCTGCAAATTTA